TGTGGTGCTGGGGGATTGAACCGTGGTCCCTGATGCTTTTGCTAAGCTTGTTCTAAGTAGGTGCTTTAGACCACTGAGCCATCTCTCCAGCCCACCAAAGATGTTCTTTAATAAGAAATTATCATGAGATATTTCTATTTGATTTTTTAAAATCAAAAATAAGAACACAAAACTGCCATGTGTTTCGAAAATTTTCCTTTCCCTTAAAATCTCTGTCATCAACTAAATATAATTTTGGTTCATTAGGAATATCCCAAATGCCTACATAGTGAAATTAAATATGTTAAAGATTAATGGTCAAGGGCCGGGGAGATGGCTCAGTGGAATAAGCGCTTCCCTGGCAAGCACAAGGACCTGAGTTCAATCCCCGGTTCCGAGAAAAAAAAAAAAAAAGACCAAAAAAAAAAAAAAAGATTAACGGTCAGATTTCATGTTAACAGTTTTGAACTGGTTTCCTTCTGCCACCAAACGCCCTCACTCCAACCTGCCCCCACTAGTGCCAGTCCATCTTCTAAAGATAATCAAGAAGTCATTCTCTTGCTTAAATACTCAGGACTCCCCATGGCCCAGCAGCAGCTTTTCCCAAAGAGCTACATTCTCCGTTACCCACACAGCAAACAGGCTTCTTTCCTCCTACACCTAAGTACTGATGTCCCTGTGAAGAGGACCTTGTGAAGCCTGGATTTCCACAGAACACACTCAGTGAAAGCCTAGATGCTAGGACAAACTGGACTCCGGCCCTCCAGCCCCAGCCCTGACCACTTGACCTCACTGCTCAGTGCTCAGGCAGGTCCCACTTCCCTCTCCTCAAACCCCCTCCTGTTCTGGCCTGTGAACTCCCATTTATAGAGCTCTCCTAGCTCTCATCTCGGCATAGCCTCCTTTTCCCATCCTCTCACCAAGGCAGCTGCAGTAACTATTCCCTCCCCTTCCTTGTATCACTTCAGTGAGCACCAACATGCTTCCCTCCCTTCATGACCTACACCCTCCACGCAATCTGCAGTTGAATCTTACATTTCCGTTTCCTTATTCAGTACCTGGATGGAGGCATACACATAAAATCTGCCTGACTTCACATACAACATAAAAACACAGAACTCCCTTGATGCCCTAGACCTGAGAAAACAGATACACATAACTGAAACACAACATACCAGCTGTTCAATGATGCTGTTTAGCATTATTTGATTTTCATAAGCACACTGTTCTTTCATGCCCTGCCGGTGATTGACTGGGGCCTCGGGCACCAAGCACATGCTCTCCCCCCAGTTACATCTCCAGCACTTTTTATTGTTTATTTTGAGACAGTTTTGCTACATCACACAGCCTGCCTCAGCTTCCCGAGTTGTTGCTATTACAAGTCTATGACACCATGGGCTGGTGAGATGGCTCAGTGGTCTAAAGCACCTACTTAGAACAAGTTTGGCAAAGCACAGGGACCACAGTTCAATCCCCCAGCACCACATGCCAGCCAGCCCCGCTCCCTGGTGGGCTGAGCTGGCCACACACACACACACATAAATAAATTAAAAAATTAAAAAAATAAAATAAAAACAAAAACAAAAACAAAAAACAAGTCTATGACACCACACTCAGCATTAACAGTAGAGTTCTCTAACAACACACCATCAGAACCAAGCATGGCAAGACTGTTTTGCAGCACACGCTGAGCACCAAGTGCTTCGACTGTTCAGTATGTTCAGTGTAAGAGAGGGAGCCGCAGCAGGAAGTCAGGGCGCAGTCAGGACACTGACTCTGAGAAACTAACACCTAGCAAATAGCTTTCACAAAAGTAACTAAACATTATTTCATTTTTTATGTTCTATTTCTCTTTAATAAGCCTAGTCTTTCTCAATTACAGCAAAATTCATTTTCCCTACTCTCTATTATCCCAAAGTAAGTGCATAATAATAATGAGGAGGAGGGGTAGGACAGGGTGGGTGGGGAGAGAAGACAGGCCAGGCCACACAGCAGATGCAGTACAACTGGGAACCTGTCAATGTCCTGCCCACTTAGGCAAGAAAGGCCCCAATGCCAACCCTTAAATCCCATGCAATCCTGGCTTTCTCTAATAAAGCTGCTTTGTTCCTATGTGGCATAGACACCCTCATGGCCCAGCAATGCCCCTTCTAAGCTCCTGCCCTGGAAGAATCCAGGTCCACACAAAAGCATGGCACGTAAATGTTCCCAACAGCCACAAAGTGGAAACTCAAATGCCCATCAGCTAACACAAGTAAAAGCTGGTGTACCATACAATGGCATGCTGCTTAGTAACAAAGAATCCCAGCACTGGGGAGGCTGAGGCACAAAGACAGATGGGAATGGAGGCCATCTGGGCTACAAAGTGAGCTCAAGGCCAGCCTGAGCTGCACAGGGAGACCTTGTCTCAAAAAGACAAAGACAAAGTAACAAAGTAATGAAGTATGCTGTATACAGTTGGGTAGACAGCACTTCAATGAGTGTGAAAAAATAGTCAACTCCACTGAGGTAGAAAGATGAGTGATTGTCTAGCACTGGGGGCAGGAATGGAGATAGACTGTAAAAAGACACATAACTTCTTTTTTGGGAAGACAGAAGTGCTCTAAAATTAAACAGTAGTGATGATTACACAACTCTGCACATTTACTGGAGATCATCAGATTGTCCAGTTAGCTTAGGTAAATGCTATGGTCTAGTATGCTGCAAGAGATGGGGGAGAGGGAAGTGAGGGAAAGGGCAGGGCACATAAAAAGAAGCAGGGTGCATTATGCATTAGTCCACGTGGAAACTCCTCACGCTGAGTATAATCATTATGACTGCAAATATGTATAAATGAAAATTAAAAATCTGCAAGGAAAAAACTTATGCCTCAAAAAGCTGCTTTTAAAAAGCAGGATCTGGGGGCCTGCCCCTTAGCTTAGCTTTTAAGTGGCTGCTTCAACTGCTTTAGTCAGGCTCAGGTTGCTGTGGCTGATCCCCACAACTCAAGCCAGCCAAACCTGCCCTGCCCTGAAGGCATTTGGAGAAAAAAAAAAAATCCTTGAGTCGGGGAGATGCTCAGTGGAATAAGCACTTCCCTGGCAAGCGCAAGGGCCTGAGTTCAATCCCTGGTTCCGAAAATAAATAAATAAAAAAGCAGGATCTGAAAGACTTCCAGAAAAGAAAAACAGAACTTCTTGCACAGAAGAAATATCCTTAGTAGGAAAAGCCCAGGTCCTGCCTGTAGCTCTGCCCTGATTTGCTGTGGCTGCTGGGGAAGCTCACCCATCTCTGACTCTTGGCCCTCAGCAGACACTCAGGTGACATGAGCATCAACTCCTGAGGACAATGGCCCTGAGACCCTGCTGGCCCTGGCCCACTCAAGTCAACTAGCCTTTAGCTCCTAGCTTACCTGGACCACCTACTGATACTTCCCAGTGGAAGGGTGAGTCAGAGACGACGACGACAACAAAATAACACCACCACCAATAATAACAATGATTGGGGCAAAATCAGATGCTAAAAGCTGTACCAGAATCTAAAAACCTGTAATACTGATGGGACAAAAAAAGACTCGATTTCAAGGGAGAGTTACAAGTTAAACTCCCTCTCTTACCCCCTCTGATGTAGCTAAGCATGAAACCACTTAGAGAAAACTAGGGTCATAAAATAGGACCAAATAGTTAGGACAACCTGGAAACAGGGCAACCATTAAACCAGACTGCTGGGCGAGGAAGATAGCTTGGTGGTCTAAGTGCCTGCCTGCCAAGCGTAAGTCCCCAAGTTTGATCCCCAGTACTGCATGCCATGCCAGCTCAGGAACCCCGGGTGTGCCATGCTGGCCTGAAAATGGGTGTGGTGATGCACGCCTATAATCCCAGCACTGGGGAAGCTGAGACAGGAGGATCACTGTGAGTCTGAACTGTGTAGTGAGATCCTGTATCAAAAAACAAAAACAAGGGCTGGCCTGATAGCT